TATATATAAATGTATGTATGTATACATGATCGATAGATATAGCATTACTATAATATGAGGCAGAAGCCTATTCACCCAGGAGTCGATCCACACCTTTGAGCAGAACTACCACCCCAAGCATGCAGTTAGAGCTGGAAAGGAATGGCTAATATTAAAGCATCTGCATGCAGTAGAAGGGCCCTTTAAAGCTCAATGGTCTCTGCATCACAACTAGGACACGTTTATCATTTCTGTTTCTACGTTTAACACCCTTTAACAACCTTATGTCTTAATAAAGTATAAAGTCTTACCCATGCTTCAATGTCAAAACTAGCTATGTATTGTTTGGTAAATAAACAAATCCTAAAGGTCACTTAAAAATCTTTCTTTATTCAATAGCTATTTATAGTTACTGTGTAAATTGATCTATCTATCTATCTATCTATCTATCTATCTATCTATCTATCTATCTATCTATCTATCTATATATATATATATATATATATATATATATACATACATATATACTAAAATCGGCTTCTCTTTGACTGGTAACACTATTAAGAAGGGGGTTTACTGATGTATCCATCAACTGCCTCAGCAACATCTGAATTACTCGCAGCTTTACTTTCTGCTTCAGTGAACACCAATATTTATCAATGCACCTGCAGTCCTATCCTGTTTGAATAATTTTTTTGTGTACTTTTTCACACTGGAACATTGACTTTTCCTAATTATTTTTACAACTCTGTGGGGAGTTGCTGACTTGTTCAGCCCCATTACTTCCTTGTTTACCGCCTGGATACCTGCGCAATATCAGATCTGCAGTCACACAGCGTGTTTATTGTGAATATATATAAAAGGGCTTAATTTACTTACAGATTTGATCAAAATAAATCTTAAAAGAAAAATTATACACCAGGTGGATGTGATGATATTTCAGGAAAAAAAAAACAGATTCAACCTGTGAATTAGTGGCTATAAATTTAAAAAGTCGTGTAACAACAATATGCCCCTTTAAAATTTACAGGAGCTGTTTTTGTTGCATGTTATGTTGTTTTTCTGATGGTCCCATTAGTTATGTTACAACAACTTAGCTACAATCTCTGACTAGATCAGCTTTGCTGGTAAGCTAATTAAGGTTACCCTATAAGTGTTTATCTGTTGCTTAGGGTGATGTTTAGATCTAGGGGAAGTGGTGTGGTGCCTACTGGTTAGAGCATTATGCTTAGTTGTCTGAGGTTCTGAGTCAAGCCCTATTCCCACAGACTGCCACTCTGAGTCCCTGAGCAAGACCCGTAACCCCACACTGCTGTCTGGGCGCCTCACAATAGCAGCCCACTGCTCCCCAGGGGGATGGGTTAAATGCAGAAGTGAATTTCTCCAGTGTGAGATTAATAAAGTTCAATTACTATTATTAGTTTAGGAAAATCAGCTACCTAGAAATATGCAATACTTCCAGTATTATGGATTTGTGAGGGATTGCATTCGAGTCAATGAGTCGATGCAATCAACTGGTTTTCCTTTGATAGAAAACTCTGAATCAATTTGACTGGAATATCTGGTGAACTGTAAAGTGCCTTGAGATGACGTGTTGTTAGTTGGCGCTATATAAATAAATTAAATTGAAATTCTCCTTTACATTTATTTTATCTTCTATTCTAAAGATAAAAGGATTTTAAAGCATAAAGAACTGGTTGAGTGAACATGACACGACTTTGCAGAATGTAAGGCAGGTAGCCACCTGCTGGCACACAGTGACTGACAGTTTCATGCATGAGTATGTTTCTGCTGCAGATCAGACTCACTGTGCTGTCAAAGTAAATTATTCTGCCATGGAAGACATGATACAGAGAGCTATTTTTTATTTATCAAAGACAAAAAAAAAGAAAAATCTGAGTTTGGTCTTATAAGTCTTAGACAAAGCAGTTCTAAATGCATCATTCTTGATAGATTTGAAGCTTCTTGCTCTCCATGGTGATTAGCTGTGTAACAAACCACAACTTGAGGGTTTTATTTAAAAGACAAACAAACAAAATAATCCAAAAATAAATGCCTAGCTTTCTGTTCCTTTGTGAGTTTTTTTTAAATATGCTTTCAAAGGGAATCTCAAAGTCTCCTGTGACACACAGTAAATGACTTTGTGAATTGCCATTTGGAGTTGTTTATCAGATTTTATATTCAGAGTGCTGCCTCAGCACATCTCATAGTGCACGGCTAACATGTAGATCAGTGATGGAAACCTGCTGCTGATGTGTCACATTCAGACTGTAGGCGTTAACCCTGCTGAGGAAATAAAGGTCTCACAGTTTGGCAGAGTGTGTGGAGTGGCACATTCCCCAATGCAGGGCAGACAAGACAGGAAATATGCTCCACATGAAAAATCAGACATTGCCTTAGATAATTTTAAAATGCAACAATGTATCTACCAAAGGTTGGATTCCCCTTGATTGGTTTCGACCTGGGATTTGCAAAATATATATGTAAAAAAAAAGTGCTTTAATCCATGAAATGAATCAAAACAAAGAACACCAATGCAGTAATTTGAAGTGTATAAAGTGTATTGCAACACAAAAATCAGCTAAAGGTTGAGAAAATACATGTGGATATTTACAGTAAGTGCAGATAAAAATGATTATTGGATCACCTTCTTTACCTCTGAGTGAGCTTTGTTCTTTCCCTTTCTTACATCAGGTGGATATTATATGAGGGAGTCAACTATCGAGGTGCTCAGATTTTGTTGAAACCTGGAGAGGTTCCTAACTGGCAGAAGCTCAGCAGCTGGCCGAAGATTGGATCTCTCCGCCCCCTCCTACAGGTTTGCTCCCAGTGTGTCAAAATCTACCATGGCACTGTAGCTCAAAGCTTGTGTTGAAAATAAACAGCAGCGATAGATTAATCTCTGACCAATCTATTTACAGATTCATCGATATATTTGTCATTGTAATCAGCTTATGTTCCCTTGATTAAATACTGATAATCGGATTATTTTCATTGAAGGTATCAACATTAAAGCATTGATTTAGGATTTCTATCCAGGATCCAGCAGCACCTTTGTCTCTTTTCTGTTGTTCTGTTAAGAAAATAGCCTCAAAGATAGACAAACATCAGCTTAGAGGAAAACCTGAGTGGTGCATCACCATGATTGGTTGCAACCCTCTTTTTAAAAACTTAATCAGAAAGCAAATAATGGTTTTAATTCTACAATAAATGTAATTAAACTGTTGAAATGCATTTGCACTGCTTAAATGTCTTTTCTTGTGTGTGTGTGTGTGTGTGTGTGCAGAAACAAGTTTACTTCCGTCTAAGGAACCGGCGGACGAGGCTAATGATGTCACTGACCGGAGATTTAGATGAAATCAAACTGCTGCGGATACAAGAAACTGAAGAGACGGATGGAATGGATCAGATATGGTCCTACCGGAACGGACATTTACACTGCAGGGTACATAGTACTTGTCAATTTACTGTGATGTCAATGACCAGAGGGTTCTTATATGATCTTATTGAAATAGAAATTAGATTGCATTATTTTCTAGATCCAAACAACTACGGAATATTTTGTAATAAAGGAATTCCCTTTGCAGCTGGAATGTTAGCATTTTACCTTGAATTGGGGATAAAAGATGCCAATGTAATGTCAGTCATTCATTTGTCCATCCAGTCTGAAAAATAGTTTTAGTTTAGAAAATGTCTCGCATTAAGACAGTGTTATTTTAGTAATATTTATATATTAAAAAAAAAACGGAAGCTTAAACAAAGTAAGACCACTCTTAGATTGGATGAACCCATATTTGGTTAAAAAAAAATGGAACAAAAAGATCACCTGATATGTTAAAAAAAAAATTACAACAAAAGTACTGATATAAAAGTTCTGCAATCTCCTAATACTAAGTAAATTTTAATCAAATAAAAATAGATATTCTGATTTAGTTATTTGCCTTTACTGTTTTTTGAATTCGATCCCATTTATTTACATAGAGCCAATTTACTTCACATCATCTGAAGGCACTTTGCTGAACCAATTCAATCAAATCACAGTCAGATTAGTTACAGAGCTGGAAAACAAACAGATTTCTTTGCATTAAACTTTACGCTTGCTGATTAGAGCTGATTGAGGAGGAATTTTTAGATTTTGACTGCCTGACATAATTGACATACTATTTTTTTTATATATATAATAAAGACACCAGATTAAGAGTGTTACCTCTCTTTCTCATTTTGAACCTGTATTCAGCTGTTGGAGGATTGCTGCCTGTGTCCTAGTGGCACTGTCATAATTGCTGGAAGCCGAGTGGGTCTTTCACAGGAGTTCAACAACCAAATCCCCCTCTGGAGTATCACCCCTGAGGGCTTCATTCGCTACAGCCCCACTGCTGATCTCGTCCTGGAAGTCAAAGGTGAGCCTCCGCTATCAACCTGTGACTTCTGATTGTTTCAAGACGTGAAGCCCTCATTGTTTGTCTTTAACATCTAAAAAGTAAAATATCACTGCCACAGATTAATTTACATCAAGCCAGGCTTTGCTAAAGTATTGATACTCCTTGAACTTTTTTTTACAAGTTACAATTAAACATTTCAATGTATTTTGATGGGAAACTGAAAGAAAGTGGTGCATAACTATGAAGGATAACAAAACAAGATTTTTGAAGGGGTCCCATATCAGACACAGCTGTAGTGTGAAAGCATTCGAGGTTTGTTGGATAATAAAGCTTAAAACCTGAAGCACCTCATGCTTAGTATATCTTATAATACGTCACAACTACACATGGTTGTCCACCTAAGCTGGCAGGCAGTGTCTTTATCAAAGAACTCGGAAGAACCTGTAAACGGAACATTCCACAATTCTAGCAATGAATACAGGCAAAAAGAAAGGCACTGATTGTATAAAACCTAACGTTGCATTTTAGTTTTGCCATTAAGAGGGAAGAGCAAACCACCAAAATGTGCAGTAAAAAAGAAAAGCTAACATATTATATAAACCTGGACTCACCATCTCTGCAGGTTTTAAATATCTTCTTTTTTCCGCTGCTTTGTCTGGATCAGACCCTTTATCCAACCAAGAACTTTATTGAATACAACCAAACCCAGCCTCACCCATAAGAGGCCTCAATCTTATCTGATGACTTTAAGCTACTCTGCAGATTCTGCATGAGATTTACTTCACAGGGCAGAATACATAAATAATTCACACTTCAGACACATATATTCCTCTTTCCACTTGATGTTTGTCTGCTTAGTGTTAATCTACCACATAAAATACCCCCCAAAAAACATTGACATTTTAATTTGTAGGACAGCGTGAGAGAAAATACAAAAAGTTAATTTGCCACAAGCTCTTCTTTTGTGCATCCATAGGTATCCAGATCTAAATTAATATGTCTTGATGTTCTCTGCCCCATTAGAATTTTCTTTCGGATCTTTTTTTTTTGGGGGGGGGGGAGACTAGACACCACATTACTCCCCACCCCCCTCAAAAAGCTGTCGATTAGTGACACCTTGTGGATTAAATACTGAAACTATAAAGTATACAGGAATACTAACATGATCTAGGGGTTTTTACTTTGACATTGGTTTCAATAACAGTCATATTCCATCAATTAGAAAAGGCATTCTAACTTGTTTGAAAATTATTAATCGGGTTTTCCACAAACATTTCAATAAGCCTATATTTCTCTATTAGATATCTTTCTAGATTGGTCAGATGTAATAGTCTATCTTTAATGTCACATTATGATCAAAATAAAGGCTTGAAAATAACAGTCTGTAATTAATAGATATGTTTAATCTAGAGTTAATGAAGTGAATTTAATGAATATGAATGTATATTGCAGAACAAATCCAGCCCTTTAAAATCCTTATTTAATTTTGATGAAGTAAATAATGTGGAGCATGTACTTATCTTAAGTTGGGGTTATAACATGTTATATATTTGAATAATTTTTAAGTCTGTGGTGTTTAACATGTAAATAATGATCTAAAACCAACTAGTAACCTGTTTTATATTTTAGGTGGAACTCACTACGATAAAAATCAAGTCGTTCTGAACCCTCTTGACCCAAGTAAACTACAGCAGAGGTGGGATGTGGAGATCATTTAAATGGATTCGCTGGAACTTTTCCTAATTATTCAGGAGAACTTTTAGAAGCTTAAAGGATGAGTTTCAGCTCCAGAGCTGCACAACCTTTTGATGAAGAGGTCAACCTGGAGAGATAATTTTCTAAGAATGGATTATTACCAGCTGAGCATATAAACTATGGAAACTTGGAAATATTTTAAATTTTAAAACCTACAATTCTGTGTCTTTTAGGTTTAATGTATATTTGATGTTTTCATTGGATTCTTTGTTTCTATCTGATAAATTAAACAGTGTTACAACAATGACTTACATTCCAGCTGCATTTATAAAAGCAATATGAAATACAAAAATGACCTTTTCTTTTTGTTTTACCAGCACTATAAAAACAAAGCTGTACAATAATTTTTGTCAATAAATGTTTTCAATTACACTGCATATGCTCAACTGTTTGCCAACGTTATTCTTTAGACTGTTTTTAATTGTGTTTGAATAAAATGCAACATGGGGAAAGCTGATGTGACTTTGCAGTAAGAATACAGACATGAAAGCAAATTCAAATCCTTTACTGAAAATCCCTTTGAAGTTTCCTGCAAAGACAAACACTGCAGACTGTAGGCAATTTGAACAAATCCAGTCCAGTGCAGAAAGGGAGATGCTGTCAGACAGACCTATTTTGGCTTTCTCGCTTTTTAAAAAAATAAATTAAAATCTTCTGCACAAAATGTTTTTACTCTTTAGCATAAACTGTCTTCTGTTGTCGACTGCAGCAGAGATAAAAGGTCAAAGAAGTGCATGAGGGATTCTCTTTATTTCCTCATTCATCTTTCTTCAATGTTGTTGCAATGTTTCATGCACATCTTGCTCAGACTCTGCAGCATTTATAACCTCATCATCTTCAGCCACCTTCACTACAGTTTTTCCCCTTGCATGGCCCTGCTCCAGCTTCTGGAAAGCTTGAGGCACCTGAGTGAATGGAAACTGGGCCTCAACAACAGGCAGGATCTGCAACAAATCAGAAGAGAAAACATCCTGTTGAAAAATCAATAGTTATGGATGCCTCTCAAGGAAATCTCTCTACCATCTCAGATTCTAGGTTCATATTGAAGTTCTTTTTAATTCAGAAAATCAGAGACTGAATTGAGCAAAAAGATGAGAAATAAACAGCAGTTTGTCTCCCTACTACAGAAGATGACTGCAACCACAGTGAAAGACTGGATGTGTGATCACATAGCTTAAAATTTTAATTTTTCGATGCTCCATGACTTGCAGTTTCCTTGGGCTATAAATGTGAAATTAGCATTTTTCAAGCCACTTTTCAAAAAAGAAAAATAAATAATAGAACATGTCCTTCAGCTAATGGTTAAAAAATTGTATAAATAGACTAGATGCCAAAACAGTTCTGAACTCAGATATGAACGATTAAAAACTACTTTTATTTAAATAAATGTGATCCTGATAGGGAATGAGATGGGTATATCTTAAAAAAAAATAAAATAAAAAAAAAAACATAGTAGGCTATAACAATGTAGAAGATTAATGTTTTTAAGTGTTTTAATAAAAACAGCATTTTGAAAATGAGTTTTATTCTTTTTAAAGTTATTTTTATTATAATAAAGCAGATTTTCCCATGTTAGCCATTTATCTCTGGTGATGACATCATCTTAATCTTTCGTGTATTAGTTCTACTCTTTTCCACAGTTCTCTTTCCAGATTTTTGGGATTCTCTGAATTCACGTAGAAAAAAAAATTTATAGTAAAATTCCCGATAAATTTATGACATATACTGTATGTCTAAAATGTGCCAATGTGAAATCTGCCAATATAAGAAACTTTGTATATATATATATACACACACACACCCACACACACCCCCAAACACACTCACTCACTCACTGAACCAATTAAAACAATTAACTGTATAACTAATCTAGACTGTAGCCACACTCCTAAATTTGTCCACATCTACAATCAGGGGGGGGGGAAAACATATAAAGCAACTGCAGTTGTGATAAAACAAGGTTGAACTGTGAGTCAGGTTTAGTTTGATCCCAAATGCAAAGGAGGAACGAATTTGTGGCAAAAGAAAATGTCAGAAATTAAGTCTTTTAGAATAGAATAGAATTCAACCTTATTATCATTCCACTGTCATAAGTACAGAGGAACGAAATGAATTCTCTGCATTTAACCCATCCCCTTGGGGAGCAGTGGGCTGCCATTTTGCGGCGCCCGGGGAGCAGTGTGGGGTTAAGGGTCTGGCTCAGGGAGCTTATTGTCTGTAGGAGTTTGCAAATTGCTGTGAAATAGAAAAGCTATTGTCTGTGGGCAGTCTGTGGGAGTGGGGGAGCAAACTCACAACCTCAGGATTCAAAGCCCCATGTCCTAAACACTAGGGCGCCACCACCCCAACTTATAGAACAGTTGGATTAGGGTCACAAAGGCCTCAAACGCCTTAAGACACTCTTTAGATTGTAACCAGGTGGTTGGGAGGCAAATAATAAAATTTTGTATATATTTTTTTAACATATTTTGGTATACTTTTACCTAACTGAAGCCAGGGCTAAGATCCAATCTTTTTGTACAAAAACCTTTAATAGGCTTGTGAAACAAAGGGTCAATGTGTGAAAAAGCTCCTAACATACAGTACAGCCATTAGTGGATCTGTGATGCTGTAAGTCCTTTAACAAAGTTCTGTTATATAATGTTGCTTTTTCTAAAAAAAACAACAACATGGAACTGGCTCCTCAGGGACAAACTGAGCTAACCTTTTTTGTGTTCTACATAAAACCTGTGTAGGGAGCAGCAGATGAAATGGAGAACCCAAGACTGCAAAATGGAGAGATTTTTACAAAACGCAATTGTTAAAAGTGCTTTATCTGGAAGCTCCAACCGTGTGAAATATAATTTGAAATGATAAAGAAGGTAAATTATAGGCACAAAGGATTTTAATGTTCCAATAATAACTGGTTGACTGGATTTTTAGCCAAAAAACTTCAAATAAACTGGAATTTTAGGTTGGATTTTTCTATATTTCTAAGAGGGCTGAAACATTTAATAATGTTGATTAATCAATTATTGAAATAATTGCCAGCTAATTTATTAATCTATAAATCAGTAACTGGATTATAGAGACTGTAAAACATGCCTTTAGCTGACAGACTAACCCATTTAAAGCAGTAATTATATCAACATTTATACAAAATATCTAGACATTTCAATTTAAAACAAAAAGAGTGTTTTCATCTGTCAATATTCTTTATCCAGAACTCAAGCGGAATAGTTTTACCTGGTTTACTTTTGTAAAAAAACTTAAGTAACATTTTGCTATCCGATTATTAATCGAAAAAATTAATCGACAGATTAACTGATTTGCAGAATAATCAGTGCAGCCCTAATTTCTAATATTTTCATGGTGAATATATCAAAAATAAAAATTCATCTTTTTATCAATTGTGTAGGAAACTGTTAAATATTTGGCTTACTGACAAAATTGTCTTTAAATTACTTAATAGGGTGAAACTTATATGTTTTATGCAAAAGTAGAAGTTTTGAATTTTTCACATTATAAGGCTTCAAAAAAAGATTTCTAAGGTAATTTATCCCAAAAAACTCTGAAAATAATTATAAGCTCCTAATGTTTTATGATCTGTGCTTACATCAAGCCAAATGTGAGGGAGGGCTTAAGAATGTGATGAGGCTGGACAATCCTCCGCTACCCCGGCAGCTCGGCTTGTTATTCTGGTCAGCAGCTCTTGTCATTAACAATGAATGAATGGAGGGTGCAATGGCGTCATTACTAACCAGAGAGTGGGTGTGAATGTGTGCACGAGTGTGAGGGGGGGGGGATTTTGTTATTTGGGTGTGTGTATGTGTGCTTGTTCCCTAGCTTCCCGCCACTAATCAGAACATGCTGTAAGCCCCCCAGGACAAAAGGACAGAGGGTCCACACGCCTCGGCAAACGGCTGCTCAGCAATGTTTTAAAATCCATTCATAGCTTCCTGGCGCCCGACTCGTACCGCCCCGGGGGCGCACATCACTGCACTGCAAGCTAACCCAAGCGAGGAGCTGCGGGAGTTTGATTCTCGCTCATTTACAAAGCTACAGGGAAGAGTTGAACACCGGCATGTAGGGAATCCCTGGCATGTTCATTATTTCTGCACTGCATGATCTCCATCACAGCATGAAGTCCACAGTCAGGCTGTGACTGTTGTGCAAATTAGACAATTTCTGTCTCTGCTGTTCCGTCAGCACCAACAGCTCTGAATGTCAACTTTGCATGATATGAATATTAAAGGAGCAGTGAGGCAGTACCTTCCCTGCATCCACCAGTTGGCTGACTTCATCCAAGGTGGGCCCATCGGGAGCATAAAAAGCCCACCTGTAGAAGACTCCAGCAGACGTTATATTCTAGGAGGCAAACAGAATGAAGGGGAAATAAGAAAGGATAAATAGCAGAACACAACAAAAAAGATTTGACTGAAAAACATCATAAAAATATTCAGATTTTTTGATATGTTAGGTTTGTGCTTCTCTGATGCTTTTAGTGATGCTGTAACAAATAAATGTATTTAATGGCAAGAAATTGATCCGAAATTGTGATACTGTTGGACTGATAGATGGTCCTTTTTTGTTATGTTTTAAGAGACATGCAGTAATTATCATTTTATTTCTGATTTAGTTTTTCTTTTCGATGGTTTTGGTATCAGATGGTATTGTATCCAAAATAAGTGATAAACCATCTGAGCACTTCACTAAGAAAGTCTGCACACTCTGCTTTATCATAAAGAGCTTCTCTAACCAGCTTCGCTACTTTTTCTCTTATCATGTAACACAAAAAAATGAAAAAAATGAAAAAGGATTTTAGGGAAATTTCTGAAACATATTGATGTGGAACAGTGAATGGTAAGTGGGATAAAATAATTGCAGTTTTCAAAATAGAGAAAAAAATGAGCACGTATTCTTAACCAGATTTTAGCGTACTTTCACTCATCCATTCTCATGTCTTTATGGTTCCATCAAAACCATTTTATTGTAGGTCTGGATTTAAGATTAAGCTTACCGTCTAGTTGGACAGTGCCCCTCTAGCACTGGCCACTAGTCTTTCCAATTATCCTGGAATGGACTGAACTGTATAATATTAAAAGGTTCTAAACGATTTTATAACCTGCTTTAGATGACTCCAATACACATTATCCCATTTCTCTTTTCCTGTTCCTGTTAAGTTCTTATGCTCCATAAATCTGGATTAAAATATCAAAAGCCTAAACTGCTTCAAACTAGGATTAAACATGTACTTATTCATAATGGCACCTAAACAGAAAATGAATGTAGATTTTCAATCTTTCTTTTTTAATCGAAATCATTTTATATTTTTTTATTACACCTTAGTTTATTCATTTTTATTCTCTGTTATGTGGAGAATATTTACAACTTTTGAAAAGGCCTGCCCTCTTCACTTTAAGAAAAATACACATGCACAACCCTGTTCCCGCTCACAAGAGGGAACATGCATTAAACGCGTGCAAGAGCATGCAAAAGCCCATTTCTCCTTGTGCACGCTCTGTTTAAAAGTTGCTTTTCCCATCCCTCATACAATCTTACTTTCCAAAGAAGTTTTGCAATTTTTACACTATGTCAGACCCACCACCGGGAAGTGCAGATGGGGACGCGCACGTAGGATTTACCAGAATGACTGACAACTAGGAGGAACAATTATTTTGATGAATCCACTATACTGTACCTTTAATTATTCATGTCACATTTATGCCACTGCAATGCACTCTTCTTTCATTAACAGCACTTTGAATTGTCTTTCTAATGCAATGGACTATATAAACAAACATGCCTTGCCTTTCACTATTGCTCAGTACCAAACTTCTATGGCCTCTGCAGAACAGCTGGATATATGCAGAGATTAACATGCACTGCTAAAGACAATGTGTTAAGAAGGATTCTATTTAGTGACATAAAAATATAGAGGGTCTTATTTATACAAATTATTGAAAGCTGAACAGAATTTTCAAAGTTCTGCAATCTTATATATATATGGAGTTTATCCTAATTTTAACACCTATCTAAGATTTACAGAGATACCAGAATTCTGATCATCTATGATCTGATTCTTTTTTCTTGTTTTCCTTCCTTGATCCAACCATATTGAATTTTATGTATCATTATTAGCAGCCCTTGTAAGACTTTATGACAAGCTGCAGAGGTAAATTCTTTTTTGTGTCAGAGTAGATGGAGCAGCAATCCTGCTAAAAGTTGCAGGACACCTACACCCTAAAGGCAGGAATTAAGTTCAACTGAAAGACTAACTGCCAATGCAATTTAAACATTGAACACTAGAGGGCTCAGTTGTGCTATAATCCAAAAAGCGATGTGATGAGATAAGAGCTGGATGCTGGTGGTGGAGAGACCACTGCAACTGAGCCCCACCTAACTGGCCAGCTGGCTGCTCCCATGGACAAAGGGTCTAGAAGGCTTGGCAAGACATGCAGTAATGCTGGTATTTGCTGGTGGGGAGAGTCAGTCAGTCGGCTGTAATCTGAATAAATAGCAAAACTGCTGCTTCAGCGGTAAATGCATGCGTGCGTACAATGCATCAAGCTGAATGCCCTCACAAGCAGGCAGTGACTAAAATCCAGCCAGTTCTACCAGCTGTGTTGTCACAGTGGCTTTCAAAGTTCACTCAGTCTCTAGAGCTGCTCCTGAACGATTCATTTAGTCATGGTACATCTCATGCAGTCATGACATGTACCAAACTCCCTGCTTCATTACCAAATTAGGAGGTAAAGGTTGGAAAGCCCTCCTTCAGCATGCACAAACTTTGATTTATTATCGCCTTCAGCAGATTTTTTTTTTTTTATCTCAAGCATGAAAGGCAGCATATGAAACCTGGTCATGTGATGAAATCTTCTCTCCCTCCCTCTTGTACCTGAAATTCAACTGATCAACTGAATGGAAGTAAAATGAAGTAGAAATTCCAGGTGCCTGAACAGGTGTGCGCTCCCAACAATACTGCCTATTCATAACACTGAGCATTGAACAAGACGATTTCGTTCGGAAGTATGAAAGCTATCCAAACCCCGGCTGATTTCTTCATGGGAAATGCAAATGAATGAACTTAGTCAAGGAGGCATTTTTTGTGAAAAAGGAAAATGTTCCAACCAGGCCCCCCTAAAAAAGGAAATAATATACAGAAGCAAGCAAATGATCATGTTTACCTGAAAGGCTTTGTTGTGCAGAGTCAGGCCAGCGCGCAATGTTCCGTCTAACAGGCCCATAGAGTCAGTGTTGAGGAGTAAAGGTGACACCAAAGTGACGTACTTCGCCCCTGACCAAGGCTTTAACAGACCCATGGCCCATTCCTCTGTATCGCCTCCCACGTTGTCCAAAATGACATCAAACCTGACGGTGCAGGCACAAGATGTTAAATTTACCAAAATCTTCTCTGAAGAATTATTAAAACATTTGTTTCTTCACATAAAGCTCTTCATCTGTTTACTTTTCCATGATCTCCAGTTGTTCAGCCACATCTCCTGCTGTGTAGTCTACCACCTCATCAGCACCGAGCCCTCTGACAAGGCCTTCAGCATTCTGGGAGCAGGTAACGGTCACATGGGCACCCCAAGTCTTTAATAACTGTAGAAAAAAATATTATAATAATAAGCAGACTCAAAAGTAACAAAACAATCTCTCTAATTACACGAATATTCCTGAAACTTCAGAAATATAATTTAAATACTTGTATAGAGAATGTTCCAACACCTCCAGATGCTCCAGTGATCAAAACTCTGAGAGAAAGAGCAAAAAACAAAAAGAGGATAATTAATTTATTGTGTAATGATAAAAAGGAAGGTTGTCAATATAAAAAACTGCTTCATGAACTTCATAAGAAATTGGATAGAGGATATTATCTATTGCAGTGGTTTGCAACGTTTTCCAGGCCAAGGACCCCCAAAATCGACCCCCTAATTACATGAAATTGTGTTATATCAAACTGGTCCTATAGTCACTCTATTACAGCTAGAGTAATGTAACGAAAGTCATTTCGCCCTGGGGTTATTTAAGTCTTTTTGATTCCTCATTGATGGGACAGGTGTTGTGAATGAAACGGTACCCAGCTTGAAAGAGCTCCTGTGTGTCGCTGAATGTGTGCATTGATCATGGGCGTTTCTAGACAGGGGCCAACGGGGGCCAGTGCCCCTATAGCTCATGTCCTTGCCCCTGTTATGGCCTCTGCACTGAAGACATAAGACTTAAAGAAATTCTAATGATGATATGCGCTGGAACAGACATGGTTACTTTGGATCCATTTTATTTTTTTTCTATACAACTTCTGTTTTACTATCTATTTAAAAACAATAAGGTGATAGCTTCAGTGGTGTTGAGATAGCATCCCAGTTTTCATCTGCTAAAATGTTTTTTTCAAGACAACTTGCTCTAATTTTTACGGCTGAATCTATCAGTTTTTCTTGAGTTCTAATTTAGATTTTATAAAAAACTGCAATTTTAACTTAAATTAAGTCAAAAATATGTAAAATTCCTAATTTATGAATGTCTATTGATCTAATAAGAAATACAATTTTAATGATTAAACCCAGTTGAATCGAAAAAAAAAAAAAAAAATTAACTTCATGCAGCTCTCTTAATATATATTTGAATCCCTTGCTCTGTTTTTTATTTTATTCTTTTTTGTGCCCCCATGAAAACACGCTGGCCCCCTCGAACATTTGGTCTAGAACCGCCACTGGCATTGATGACTGAAAGACATCTTCTGCCTCCATTTATCTGTTTATATTGTGTTGAATTTATGTTCATGTGTATTTAAAGACATTTAAATTAGTGGAAAAAATTCCAGGGGGGAATTTAAAAAAAAAGTCTAATCAACCCAAAACTTTGGTGAACCCCATGCATTACCTCCGAGGACCCCCTAGGGGTCACGGACCCCCTGTTGAAGACTCCCAATCTGCATTCCTGTTTTTTAATAAACTTATGTGACCAAATAAGGACATGATTGTCTAAAATGAAATTTAAAAAGAACTGCATATACATTCCCCCTTACTATTTACTATTAATGAATTTAATAAAATCCACTGTAACCATTTGCTTTAAGATGCTACATGTGTTTTTTATTGTTTACAAGTTAATCTAATGTTAAAAAAAAGGATTCATCCAGAGAAAAGTACCACTGCACATAACTCTGAACCCCACAGTGAAACATACTGTTGGCAGCTTTAATTACAACAAAGAAAGGATTTTAGTGACTTAGTTGACCTGTTATTATTATTACTTATTATATGCTGTATTTACACTTATTTCAGATTTTATTTGTAAAAAAAAACAATAATTTGTGGTTAAAAAGTGGCAAAATCTAAACAAGCTTAATGGATTTAAATATTTTTACAAGGCAACTGATAAAAAAAAAAAATAGTCTTCTGTTTACTACTGAGATTAATAAAGTTTGAGGAGGGACTACAGGTGAAGCTACAGATAAAAAAATGATTGCTTCATCTTCAAGCACAAGTTATTTTCTGTAAAAAAAAAAATACAGCTCCTGGAGGGTAAAAGGTTCATTTGAATACATCAAGATCATGCTGATTCTTGCCTTTTATTTAAGGAGTTTTCCCTGCAGAGACCGCCTGCATTGACAAGTGCAGAGAGAGCAGTGTTGGCTACATAAGGGATGGATGCAGCCTCAATGTGACTCAATGATTTTGGCTTGTAGGAAACCTAAGACAAAACAAAGAAACCAAAACAACAAGAATAAAAGAAGAAACACTGTTAGAATAGTGCATAAAGGGCTATAACAAAGGCAAGGAGCTACTGTATAAAATAAGCATAACAGAGAAAGACTAATTTATGTGTCTGTGATTACTGGCACAGCAGCCACTACCGCCAAACATACTTAATCCTAATTGGTTACACAGCAGGATTGCAAAGGGCACAATTGCTCTATTTACCTGAAATATTTCAAAAGAAAATTTTCCATTTTCTTTTAAGAAAAACAGACAGCTACTAATAATTCCTATTTAAACACATGCACCGCTGTCATACAAGTCTCTATAGCTCACCTCATACTCTGTTAAAGTCACATATTCTGCCAGGCTGCCTTGTTTCCACGGTGGAACAGCAGCCCACACCTAAAGGACCAACATGACATTTAACAAGGTGAACACAGCTGAAATTATCCACCCACTCATAGCATCTTAGTCTGCCTAATCAACCATTTCTTAGAAGACGGTTCCTGCCGTTTAGCATAATTAACTTGCTTTAAAGGATATTTTTAAGCGGGTGGATCACTGCTGTGAATAGTGTGCTGCAGGAAACCCTCATGTCCTTCTTTTCTTTTAATCATGTTCACTTGAAGACCAGTCCAATAAATTACATTCCAGCCTACAGAAGGACAATAAGGTGTACATGTGGGAGACAACGCAGTAGGCGTTTGTAGTTTTTATGAGTCACCTTAATGTAACAACAGAACGAAGAGAATCTCTGAGTTCCAAGAAGTGGCCCTGAATAACAGCATTTTAATCTGCATAACTTTAGGAGGCTGGAAAATTAACCATTACCTTACATATATATATATACACACTTTTTTTTTTTTTACATCTGATTCCCAATTAGCTAATGGTAACAGACTTGGTTTAGAGTAGTCACAGTTTATATAAAATTGACACAATAATACAAAAATGGCTATGATATCCTTCTCCCTTTCCACAGGGAGAAAAGTGTTTCGCCACATCCCCAAGGTCACTTATTAAAAACTGACACCCTTAATCAGCCACTCACATGGAAAACCACCAATGCCTTCTGGAGAAACACTTTTTGGTCCGATGAGATAAAGTTTGAGAAATGTGACCAAACTGGCATGAGTTAGAGTGACTTTTACATTTTAGAACATCCTATGACATGTAAGAAATAAAATATTGGGGACTTTCTTTAACAATGTTAAAGAAAGAGAGAGACTCTAAAATGAAAGACTCCAAAAATGTGCCTTTAGCTGACCCACCTTGAGCAGCAATTATACAAAAAAAAGGGGAAAAAATTTGCAATTAAAAAAAAAAATCTTTTTCTTCTGTCAATATGCTCTATCCAGAACTCCTCAAGTGGACCAGTTTTAGTTTCTCCTGGCTTAATTAGGCAAAAAGTCTTCTTTCTTCTTTAAGGAACCTTTTGATATCTGATTATTAATCGAAAAGAAATATTCCGCAGATTAATCGATTTGCAAAATACTTGTTAGTTACAGCCCTAGATTTCCACATGATAAACAGAAAATAATCACAAATATGTTTTAAAATTAGTTTTAAAATAGATTAAAGCAGGTTAAGACTTAACTTTTTGGAAAGTACCGATTTCAACCATAACTAAAATTTCAAGACTCTTCCTAAAATTAAAAAAATGAATATGCAGTGTGTTGATTGGGCAAAAAAAAATAAAAATAAAAAAATTGTACAATTGTAAATTGAGCTGTCAATAATTACCATCATCTTGATACAAGGGCTGTGTACTTAAATATGATTCAAGAAAACTACACAATTCACTTTGTATGCATTATACACTCCTGGATGGATGGATGGATGGATAAATAGATAGATCAAATTCACTTTGTATGCATTATGCACTCTTGGATGGATGGATAAATAGATAGATCAAATACACTTTGTATGCATTATACACTCTTGGATGGATAAACAGATAGATAAAATTCACGATGGATGGATGGATGGATGGATGGATGGATGGATGGATGGATGGATGGATGGATGGATGGATGGATGGATGGATGGATGGATGGAATAATAATTTCAAATTTGAAAAGTCTGCAAACATTGATAATTCACTTTATAGATGCTAACCTCATCTCCTGGAGCAAAGTGAGTCACTTCAGATCCACAGTCCACCACTACACCTGACAAATCACGGCCCAGAATGAGTGGAAACTCACTGAAGCTGCTCATCACAGACAAAGGATCCCTCCTTAAGTTAAGCAATGTCGCCCCATATCCTCCTAAAGGGGATACAAAATAACAAAGCATGTTTAAAAGCAAATGAATTCCATGAGTACTTCAGCAATTGCATTATTGTTGCAAATGCCAACATTGTACTTACCCCTCATGTTTACATCTAGTGGGTTAAGGCTGGCCGCACTGACTTTTATCAGCACTTCATTTGCAAAGTTAATAGAGGGAATAGCAATTTCTTCTGTGTGCCTCAAAACTCCACTAGAGCCATACTGATCAATGACCCAAGCTGACATGCTCTGCAGCCTTGAAGGTGAACTGCAGACATTCCTGCAACCAGTCCGAGCTAATGTTTTGCTCCATACAGTTTTCCCATTAAACAAACACAGAAGCCTAATTAAAGCCATAACTCTTATACAGCCCGTTCAAACCTACTTGCTGCTACAAGGTCAGCTTTGAAACAATATGACATCTACAACTGCATACTTAGTGCAGCATTAGCTAGCTACAGGACAAAGCTATAGAGCTAATATTAGCCTTTTTAGCTAGTCGCTGCTAAAAAAAATACATGCTTTGCGGTCGATAACAGACTAAATCCATCAGTTTTACCATCTACAAATGGGCTGATATTGTTTTACGTTTCAGTAAGTATAACCTACTGAGCTTAAACCTTCAGATAAAACGCATTCATCCATAGCCTAAGTTACCAAACAAGCTAACCTCTGAACTCAAGGAGATAGCCAATCAGATATTAGTAGATATAAACTCTGGCCAATGGCGCAAGAGATTTTCTAGTGACGTATGATGTTTTGATTCATATTCAATACGCCTTTGTCGTGTGGATTAGCCTATTCGATGTCAATTTTTATCCCTCGTATGGTTTATCGTTTTGTTTATGTTGTTTTAAAGGATAGAAATTGCAGAATGACAGATCTAAAAAAAAAAGTTTTTAAAAGGTTTAGATGCACCAACGAAACAAAATGAAAAAAGCCAGAAAATCAACGACAGTAATAAAAAACAAATAAAAATAAACATTTTTCACAAAATGATTCTCTTTTGTAAGTTGTATCAAGGAAGGACTTAATAAGGTGTTCATACTAACATTATTTTTATGCATAAATGCATGCATATGAACGCTTGTGCATCTATAACATACATTTTAAATAAACAGCAGGAGGTCCTCTACCAAAAAATCCTGTATTATAATTTTGAACCACAAAAGATTAGCATCCCCAGAAGACATCTATAAAGAAAAAAAAATCATTATTATTAGAAAAACATAGATTATAAAACACCCTTGGAGAAACATACATCCATCCACCTTCTACCACTTGTCCATATGGGTCCATCAATTGGAACTAAACATAAATTATGAAGGGGATGGTCTCTAAGTATTACTCATTTACGAACAGGTAAAATAAATTTTTTATTATTATTATTATTATTACTATTATTCTTATTCAATGTGCTTATTTTTATTTTAACATATAACACGAGGCCTTAAGGTAATAAATTGTTCCACAGTGTCGGTAGCTGTAGGCTATCATCTCTTTTATTGAACAAGGTTTTAAAAGAAGTGTAAAAAAAGGTTTAAATAGTATCATACTGTTGACAGTGAAAAATATTTAAAATCTTCAATCTTACTTTAGAAAGCAGAATTATATGGCAAGCAGAAGTGTGAAATGATTACTTTGTTTATTTCCTTTTAGACCAGGGGTTGATATCTATGGCAACTAGGTGATGATTGAGTCAACCAACATATTAGAAATTAAAAAAAGAATAACAACTGAGGCATAGTAAAGTAATGCATTTTCGTACTGTTTTAGTTCAGATCCAGAAATTAAAATTTTAATTCTCAACCAATGAATTTGTAGATACTGATATACACTATATGTCCAAAAGTATTTGGACACAATCTGGTTTGGCCTACAGAGTCCTAACCTCAGCCTTTCAGAGAATTTTGAATTAGAGACAATTGCAGAATAGTCAAAGTATATCAACAAGTCGAACCCTGTAGATAAAATTAGAATGTCATTAAAGTTTCACGCACATGTACAAGCGGACATGCAATACTATGTATTACGAAATGAAGCCTAAAACTAAGTAGGGACATAATTAAATAATACACCTCTAAGCAGACTTTTCTGCTTCCACTGATGTAAAAGTCTGCTGTCAGCTCCTACAGCAAGCCCAGCAAACAGATCAACCCCTAAAACTTGCTTTGTTTATATGTGAGCCCTTTCAAATAAAAATGGTAGTCAGTGGTATGCATATTGTACAACAAGCATCTACTTGGCAGGGCACGCCATGGTCTTTTTTTGTTTTTTAAAGTGGAATGATAATAAAGCACATACCATCAGCCATCTAAAATAAAATAAAAAATGGGAACATAAGTTGGAGATCTTATTGCGCAGGTTTATCTAAGATAAAGTTCAAATTTTACATATACCAGTCATGTTCTTTGAGTTTATGACTTGCTTAATTGTTCAATTCATTCACCTGTCTAACTCTGCCCAGTTTTCAATCACTGCTCATCTGATCCACCTGCTTCTGCCTCTATTTAAGATGCTTGCTGTAAGCAAGCATCAGGGAGAGTATTCTTTTTCTTTTATCAGGGAGAGTATTCTTTTTCTTTTATCAGGGAGAGTATTCTTTTTCTTTTATCAGGGAGAGTATTCTTTTTCTCTCTAGCCAGTGGTGAGAGTGATTCTAGACTCCCTTGGTGTTTCTTATTTCATGATCCTGACCTGGTCTGCCTCTCAACCACTGAGCCTGACTGTTCCTGTCTGATCTCAGTGTTGAGAGTGTTTCTAGCATTATCTTAGTGTTTCTGATTACCTGAGCCTGACCTGTTCTGCCTCTGAACCACTGAACCTGCCTGTACCTGTCTGAACTGGACCTCTGAGCCTTCCTTTTCTGATCTGTTTGCCTAACCTGGATGGGACTCCTACATGTTCTCTTGGGCTGCAGCATCTGGGACAGTCTGGACGTCACCTACCGCATCTTGTTGGCAGCCCACCGGTTGGATCCTTCCTCGTTCTCTGGGCATGGACTGAACTTGAAAACCAGGCTAGTGACTCACATGGATAATCATCCTCGGTCAGATTATTATGGTCACTAACCTGTGTTTCTCTCCTGAAGAGGTTCCAGACTTAGATGCACTAGCCGCTGCTACTACCCTGTTTAATCTTAATAAATGCCTTTTTGAGTTATCCCACTGTTCTGTGTCATGACAATAGCCTGCAATACACAAACATGCATCCACACTAACATTTCATTATTAATTTAGTTATGTCTCAATCACGAAGGTGCTTAAAAACTATATGATTTATGTAGCCATCAACAAGGTTCTCACTTTCAGGCTGGATATTTGACCGTTTTCTGTTTAAAACTTTTGATTTCCTGTAGAAGTGCATGCTTTTAAGCATATAGCCAAAATTTTCATATGTGCTAAGGTCACTGCCATTCCTGATTTATGTCTGATTTATGCCTTCCAAAAGGGATAAAGGGAAATGGCATTAATCTAGTTAGTGTTTGAAGTAAAATAAAAAATAAAATAAAAAAACGGTGGGTTCCTGCAATTCAATATTCCATACACCTTTTATGATACGTTGGGATCATTAACAACAAACAATTTGGGGCCAGCATGCTCAACAGTTGATATAGTGAACTTTAGTTTAAAAAGTTAATCTCCATCTTTGGATTAATTTAAAAAATTGATTGCAGCCTGACACTTGTGCATTGATTAAAGATGAGCCACAATAATTTTAAACTTGAGACCAAATTGTTGTACTTATTCATTCACGGTCCAAAATTATTATGCGTATGACAACCTCTGGCCTCTTCTGGTACCTGCCTGAGTGATACATGCCTAAGAGATTTTGTCATTAAAAAAAACTGCTGAGTTCCCATTAAATGTGTAGGTATGGGCCAGATAGCACAAACTAGTGGTGGAGGCCATATGCCAGTAACAGAAAAACAAGCCAAAAACATAATGTTTATTTTTCATTAATTGTCGAAGACCATTATATGATTGGTTTCATTTTTAGATGATCTTTGATCTTTAGATGATCTGGAATAGTTGCATTAAGCCCAAAGTGCTGGCGCCATTTTTAAAATGGGTTTGTATAACTTCCTACCATCCATCCATCCATTTTCTGACACGCTTAATCCCAAGCAGATGTCGTGAGGGGTGCTGGTGCCTATCTCCAGCTGTCTACGGGCGAGAGGCTGATACACCCTGGAAAAGGTCGCCAGTCCATCGCAGGGCTAATTTCTTACCATTAAAATAATAATTCAATAAAGTCAAGTTGGGTGTGTAAGTATTCTACTTTATAGGATTAACCCTTAATCATCTGCCTTTCTAAGACCTGGGTAGTTTTCTGAGCATAAAAGAGAAAGATGATAGAAAGTTAACAGAAAGTTCGAATTTATATTTCCCCAGCAATTCATAAGTTTTTAAATGTCTCAATTCCGCCTCTCCTCCTACTCAGAGTACTCTATTCCTCACTCCCCACTTCCTCATATTTTCTTACTTTTTACCTTATCTTTTAGCCAAAGCAACAGATAAAACATAATTTTTCAAGCATTCTCTTGCTGGACTACATTTTAATAATTTTTATGTTATTTTGATCACAAAGCAGAAGGTCCACGTCAGCACAAGAAGCCTTCCTTCACCACACAGGACTTCGTCAAGATTCTACAGAGGATGGCTGTCATTAAAATGAAAATTAACCTACTGGAAGTGAACGTGGAAGTAAATGCTGGTAAGAGAATTGATACAACTTTGCCAATGTCGACACTGCTTGTGTGTCAAAATGCTAAGAAAATCCTACCAGCAGCTTTAAATAACAGCATGTCTGAACAACATCTAACCAGTTTTATATAGAAACAAGAAACAAGGTGCTGATTCTAATGACAATAACCAGACCAGTAGCTTGGAAAATCTTGGAGCAAAGCCAAAGAACAAACAATCCAACCCAGATTTGAAAAGACGTGTTACAGGGCAAACACAACATTTATGTGACAAAACCTGGCCAAGACTTCAGAGAAACATGTCTTCTACTCCAGGTATCGACAGCTGCAAAAAACTGTATGTCCCCAAAACAACATATAAAGAAGAACCCAATGAGTTTACTGAGAATATGGGGATTCCTCTTAAAACAGGTTGACCTCGAAGAGAATAGCGTGTTTCCAGACAACAAAAGAAGGTATGACAGCATTCAGCTTTCTCTCAAACAGCTTTATAAAAACACCTGCTAAAGCCAAGAGCATTAGTAAATGATGATACTGTGAATGAGATTACATATAGTGAATGTTGGCTGTGGCATGCCAGCTGAACTCTCAAAGAGGGTCACACAGATCATAGAATAAATCTTACCTTGAAGAACTTAGTCATTAATATTAAGGGATTGAATGATGTTTCTAAAAGGAAATCAGATTTTTTAAAATAAGATTAGTCTGCTAAACACTGCGAAACAGACTCATTTTAAAGTCTTCATTAGTGGCCTTTCGCACCACCTTCAGCAGGAGATGAAGTCTTCAGCAGAGTTTCCTTCCTTAAATGAGCTTGCAAGATCAATTGAATTTATTGATAACTTTAATATCTTCTGGGAAAAGAGACCTGAATAGATCAGGTGCAAAGGTCCCATCCATCACTGCTTTGGACACACACACACTTTATGTAATTTTAATCGCCTAGACTTAATGTGTGGTTTTGTTTTGCATCATACGT